AAAAGAGGAGGAGGGATGTTAGAACACCCCTTTTCCCACTCCAAGATGGGACAGTTCTGGAGATGGGTCAAGTCTGCTGTAGCTAGAGTTTTGAACGGAAGGAAATTATTTTATATGGAAAGGGGGCAATAGCCCATGATTTGGTAAAGAAGCATAAATCCAGTGAAAGCAGGAAATGTTTACCTTATGAAATGAACAAAGAAAAGGAAGTAAGAAAGGCATAGGGGGTGAACAGGCATCCCATTGGAGAGGGGATGCAAATAGGGTTGTGTCAGTGGACATCCAAGGATGTTCGTGAATGTAGCCGTGTCTTTGGACCAAAAGAGACAAAGTCAGAAGTCACCGAGCTGAAGAGAGAAATTAATGTATTGATGTGGGCCATCAACAGTGGTGCTGTGTGGTCGAAATATAATGCAAGTCACATGTGTAATTTTAAAAATTTTAGTAGCCACAGTTTAACAAAAGAGATGAGAGAAATGTCATTGATTTTGACAACATACTTTACTTAACCCAGTATATCTAAAATAATATTGCAACCTAGATCATCAGTGTTAAAATGCATTGAGGATATATTTTACATATTTTGAAATCAGGTATGCGTTTGGTCCTTATAACCCATCTCAATTCAGACTGGTCACGTTTTAACCCCTGAATCGCCTCAAATGATGAATGGCCGCCATATTGGATTGTGAAGCTCTGTAGTGAAACTGTTCCCATGGCTTGGGTCTGTCCCTTTTAAGAGTGATTTCACTATCAAATCAAAGTCATACTCAACCCCCGTGAGATCTTGAGGGTTTCCTGATCATGCTTCGCCTAACATTTTATCTTGCCTGTGATTACTGTTGTTGTTATTTGTTATTGCTGTGTATTTTTGTCAAAACTCTTAATGGGGAAAAGCAGGGTGTCCTTTTGTCAACAGCCTGCCCCTCTCTCCTCAGCACTCAGCTTCTCTACTTGATGGTGACATGTTTCCACATTGCCTCCTTCCTTCCAGTCTGGGCTTCTCTTCTCTTTGATATCCTCAGTTAGCTGCTCCTGGGAGCCCCAAGCACGGGCAGAAAGGAGGCAAACAAGAAAACACCATTGAATTGAGAGTAATAAGTTGCTAAAAGACATCTGGATTTTCCACGTAAAATAGACTTAGTTCCTTTTTTTCATCAAAGTGAGAGAAACAGCACCAATGAGTGATTATGAATATGGGATATATCTCAGCAAACGTGCTCTCACCGTGCTGTCCCTCCACCAGAAATTGCCTCCTCTAAGTTTTGAGGGGACAGAGTTATTCACCTGAGCCCTGAGTGTCCAAGGACTTTCTGTTTTTCCCAAGTTTTCACATCAGACAAACACGTCTCAGGGACACCTGTACTGCTACACGGTACGCTCTGCCATGTGCACAGCTTCTGTCTTCTCTTGTCATTACATTGGGTGGAATCATTAGACCTAGAACGCATCTTTATAATTCATTCTGAATCCTTAGCCTATGTCTCAAAACTCCCCTCTCCCATCAGAAATGACGTGCCTAAATTATTTTTGGTTCTTTCCCCAGCCTATTCCTACGCTGAGAGGACCACAGGTGCTTTTGATTAATTCGATTTAAAATTTTCATGGCTAACCCAAGCACCAGACTGGAGTTTTGAAAGACACTAAGGCAAGCAACATACAGCCCCTCCAATCAAGGTGTTTAAAGATGGAAGATTACTGTATAAATAATTGATGGGAGTATGCTCTCCTTCCATCTCAGTGAAGTTCATTCCAATTAATAAGGAAGTTGTCACCATCATGCAATAACGATGATCGTTTGATCCCCGATAATGAATAGAATGTCCTTAATCCTTAGCGTATGTCCTCAAACTCCCCTCTCTGCCTCCTCCCATCAGAAATGACATGCCTAAATTATTTTTGTCTGTTTTTCCACCCTATTTCTACTTGGAGAGGACCATATGGGCTTTTGGGCTTTTGGTTAATTCAATTTTAAACTGAATTAATTGTAAATTCAATTTAAAATTTGAAATAAGAATGTCCATGCGAGTTCCACGATGTTTATAATTGACCCTAGACTGATTGGTATTGCAGCAAATGCATGACAATGTCATATTAATGACTTGAGACTAACTGATGGAGAAACCTGGTCTACGTTAGTGAAAATTGTGAATTTCTGGATTGCTCATTTACAAATTAAGTGCTTGCAAAACTTTCCCCTGGTGCTGATAATAATGAACAAAACATGCTTATTTGTCATGATTAAATGTGGTGAAATATGTAGACTTTGCCACCCCCTCACCTGACCTAGGTTAATTTAGCAACTTTTTAGCAACTCCCAGGTAGTTTGGATAAATATAAGGAATTTCTGGACCTAATATCAGCCCAACAACTTAGCTGTCAAGTCGTGGCATTGCAACGAAGGTCAAGTGTACAAATGTTTATTAGCCTTCAGAAATATTTTTTAGGAAAGTAAATAAAAGACATAATTATATCAATAACATTTAATACGTGTTTGGAGGACTATGAGCATGTCTGAGACCTGGAACCTGATTGAGGAGATTCTTGATTTTGTGTGTGTGTGTTTAGAAAATAGTAGACGGGTGTTAAACGGTGTCCCACAGATGTTTGTGATGAGCTCTAGAAAGTCTCTGCTGTCTGTCTTCACATAGAATCCTTTTTCACAAAAGATACAAGTCTACATAGAATGATATGCTGAAGATAGGATCACGGAAGCTTTAAGTTGGTGTGGACAGAAGTCTCCCTTTGACATGTGTGTGCGTGCGTGTGTGTGTGTGTGTGTGTGCAAGGAGTGAGACAAAACTAACGGGATTATAGACCCAGAAGTTGTGGGGTGCTGAGCTGACCACTCTCCCATTCCCAGGCAATTAGCTCTCTCTGTGTGTTAGTTCTTTGTATCTGCTGAAACCACCACCACAGACTTGGTGGTTAAACACAGCACCAATTTATTATCTTACAGTCCAGTAGGCTGGAGTCCAGCATGGGGCTCCGTGGGCTGATAACAAGGTGTGAACAGCACTTCCTGCCTTCTGGAATCTCTAGGAAACAACCTGTTTCCTTGCCCTTCCCAGCGTCTAGAGGCTGCCTACACTCCTAGATCTGTGGCACCTTCCTTCACCTTCAAAGCCCATGATAGCAGTTGGGGTCCTCTTATCTCACCACTCTAACCCCTTCTGCCTCTCTCGGCCATTTATAAAGACCGTTATGATTCCACTGAGCCCACCTGGACAATGTAGGATTAGCTCCCCATTTTAAGGTCAAATGATTAGCAAACTACATTCCACCTGCCGGCTGAATTATCCTTTGCAAGATAGCAATCAGAGGCTCAGGAATTAGTAGGGGGACAGCTGTGGGGTGGGGCCTTGTTCTGCCTACCACACGATACAACCACATGCCCTGTCTGTCTCCATGTCACCAGAGAGAACTTACTTCTCATAAACCTTATGGTAAATAAGCAACCTGTGTTGTAGATTTCAAAATGAATATTTGGCATATAACCTTTTGGGATACTTGCGGATTCCTCATTAGGGACTTAACATGCTAACTTTCCATACAAGGTGTCAAGTAAAGTTAATTTTCATGCAGGCGAACATCATTCAGTGTAAACCGAGGTGTTTTGAAACTAATTATCAGAAAACAATGTAATTCCATTCATTCCATGCCATTTGTACTAGGCAGCCAGCTGAGTTTTTTCTCTTCGGTTTTATTTAGCAAACGCTTTCTGAATTAAAAAGTGTCCAAGATATAGGCTTCAAAAGCATTCCGAGTAGGAACAGCTCATATTCAGCTTTAGTCCAATTCCCGTGTCTTAAAGATGAGAAATGTAAACTGAGAGAATTTCAGTGACCTACTGAAAGTCACAGGCATACTTAACGGCAGACAGAGGTGGGATCCAGTTGTTCTAAATTCAAGTCTAGTTCTGTTGCCTGAAGGAAAAGCCAACCCCTCATCTCTGATAGTAACCCTCAAGAGTTTCCACTTAGAGTTATTAAAAATTTCAATTTAGAATTATTAAAAATTATTTGAGTCTGCAGCACCAAGTCCCTACTTAAAAATGTTTGTTTTGAAATGATTTATTCACGTTTTCAGTGACAGTTGCTATTCAGTATTATTTTACATCAGTTTCAGGTGTACAGCATAGTGGTTAGGCATTTATATAACTTAAGAAGTGATCCCCGGCACATCCATAGTTGCTGCAACATTATTGACTGTATCCTCTCTGCTGAACTTTACAAGCAACCCACTGATGAACTGTATGGTCTAACTCAGGTGTCAGCCAATGCTTCACTGATTTTATTTATCGTCTGCATCACCAGGAGATGCTCCTTTCCCATGAAGAAGCTGTGAAAAGGCACGTTTGGAATTGTGCTGGGAAAAATCCAAACAACCCTGCTTTATTCCACAGGGGACGCTTTGTGCTTTCGGAGGCATGAGATGTGCTTAGCTGCATGGAAACATGAGATGACGCTTGGATCTCCACGGAAACCATGTTGCGTTATGTTGTGATCGATGTGGATGTGAGACATGGAGAAACGGAGGAAAAAGGTGAGTGGCTTCAAATGTCGGTTGTTACCGGAACTAGCCAGGAAGATTCCGAAATGATGCAACTGCAGGAAAAGTTGAAGTCAATACTCATGGTGTTGAGCAGAGTTCTTCTCATTTTACAGATGACCAACGTGAGCGTCAGAAACGTTACCCATCTTATCCAGGTTCACACAGCTTGGAGATGCCTGACTAGAGTCCTGCTTCGTTCAGTGACTCAGTGCCCTTTTTACTGTAGAACAGCTATTGCCTTCCGGCTAAGTTGCATTTGCTCATCTGTTTTCTACTTCCAGGTACATATTTTATCCTGTACAGAGCACACACAGAAGCATATGGCCTTCATGATGTAGGGTATAGCGCCGTGTGCTTTCATTGTAGAAACTTTGTTGCAAGGTCTGTCTATGGTGTAGGCACTGCCCCCATTTCACCATCGCCCTGCCTCGTTGACCTCCTAGAGGTGTATCAATACCATCATTCACTCTCAAGCCAAACGATGTCAAGATGGTGGTCTGAATTCAACCATGGGAAAGGGTGCCTTGCTTTCTGCTCCCATAGAAAACCTGCTGTTGAAGACAGTCTCAGAAACTCATCTGTTCGTTCAAGAAAAAGTTGCTTATCCGACAATGACTGCGTTCAAAACATATGTGTGGGTTAATACGGAAGTGTTGTACTTGTCCTCATGGGTCTCCTGGTCAAATAAGGAATGCAGCCATACATGCTCGGAGAGAACTGTGTTGTATCTGAGCTGGAAAGCAGAGCCAAGGATGCTGAGAAAAAAAAAAAGAAAGGAAAAATGTCTTTACCAACACACTGCTCAACTCAGTAGGTTTTTAAAAATTCAGGGGCAACTCAGTAGTTCGTAAGTTATAAAGTGCGGATCATTAATCTTAGGGACCATTACGTAATCAGCCGGGTGGTAATGAAGTGATCTAGACAGCAAATAAATCCACTGCAGTGAGTTGAGTCTTCCGTTCAGATACCGGTTTTCCCCTCTTTCGAGCCGTAACATGAATGCATCAACTTTCTTTCAGTGGACATCGAATGACGCTACAAAGTGGAATCTTAAGTACTCACATGGTTTGTAAAAGGGCTAACCAAAGATTTTAAAAGTTGAGAGCTTCAAATGAAGGCAAATCATTTAATGAACCCTTGCTAAAATTTTAAAATTTCAACAAAAATTCCCAAGACGACTATAAATTTTTTTTATTATGGTTGGCATACAATATTATATTGTTCCAGGCGTACAACCTAGTGAGTGGACATTTATGTAGCTTACGATGTGACCACCTGATAAGCCTGGTACCCATCTGTCACTGTGCAAAGTTATTATGATATTATTGACTGTATTCCCTGTGCTGTATATTACATCCCTGTGGCTTATTTATATAACAGAAAGCTTGTGCCTCTTCCCTTTCACCTTCTTTATCCATCTCCCCACCCCCTTTCCTTCTGGCAACCATCAGCGTGTTCTCTGTATCTGTGAACCTGTTTCTGTTTTGTTTTGTTTGTTCATTTGTTTTGCTTCTTTTTAGATTCCACATATAAGTGAGATTATGCGATATTTGTCTTTGACTTATCTCACTTAGCGTAAAACACTCAAGGTCCCTCCATGTTGTCACAAATGGTAAGATTTCATTCTTTCTTTCTATGGCCGAGTAATACTCCATTGTATAAATGTACCATCTCTTCTTTACCCAGTCGTCTGTTGATGGGCACCTAGGTTGCTTCCATATCTTGGCTACTGTAAATATTACTGCAATTAGCATACGGGTGCATATATCTTTTTGAATTAGTGTTCTTGTTTTCGGATAAATACCCAGAAGCGGAATTGTTGGATCATAAGGTATTTCTGTTTTTAATTTTCAAGGAACTTCCCATGTTATTTTATAATGGAGTATTATTCAATGTTAAAACAGAAGGAAATCCTGCCACTTGTAACAACTTGGGTGAACCTGGAGGGCATTATGCTAAGTGACATAAACCAGCCACAGAAGGACAAATACTACGTGACTGTCCTTATATGAGGTACATGACATAGTCACGCGCATAGAGGCAGACAGTAGATGGTGGTTTCTGGGAAGTAGGGGAAGAGGAGTTGGGTAGTTGTTCTAATGGTAGAATGTTTCAGTTATACAAGATGAATTGTCTTAGGGATCTACGGCATTACATACTGCCTGCAGATAGCAGTCCTTTTGGGCAACATGTGGTTTTGTTTAATACACACAGTTAGAACGTGTGCTGTGGTTTCTGGCTGCCAAAAGCGAGATGATCAATAATTGAGAAACGTGAGGAGAAGAGGGCTGGGGAAGGGATAGGAGTGAACAGAGAAGTGACCCGCTGGACTCTTTAAGCTCTGCTCGGGGCTGAGTAGGGGAAACCCAGATTGATTTTGCACTGAGAGAGGATGGAAATGTCACCGTGATCGTCCCACTGAAATGCCAGCTCCATGGGTGCAAATACATGTTTTGGTGTTGATCCCTTGTTTTTGCTGATTTTGCTTTCCACCCTTTAATTCCCAGTGCCTAAAGCATCAGCACTGTTGAATGAATAAGTTTATTTTCATCTAGCCAGCCCTTAGTGAAATGCCTAGCTCAAAGATGGTGCTAAATAAAAGCTAAGTAAACAGATAGGTGGTTGGAAGCAAGATGGATGGACAACAGGGTGGATGCATGAGTGAAGGAGAGCACAATTCATGAAGGTTTAGTCAGAGAGAGGGAGAGTTGAAGATGAATGGAAGGGCTATTGAGCAGAGAAGCAGATGATAAATTATGCTAACTTTTGATATCATGACACAGACACGAAGAGTACATTGGATTCTCGAAGATTGAGAAGACACTTCTGATGCTATAGATTCTAATAATGTTATTACTATCTCTAATACTCACCATTATTACTATCTCTAATACTCACCATTGCAAGGTTCTTGACACAAAACACACTGCCTCTGATTCAAACAGTGGGTACATGAGGCAGTTGGTCTGTCCCCACTTTTATGACACTTAAGACAGTGTATATTTTTCCTGTCTTCTGCACTGCTTCAAATCACTTCCACGAACAAGAAACTATTTCCTTTAACTATATTTTTCCACATAATAAATCCTACATATCAACTCAACTGTGCTGAACGAGCAATATGCATAATCAATGGATTCAAACGAATGGTGACACAGCAGAGGCTTATGAGTGATTTGAGAACTTTTACAGTCAACAATTTCAGTAATGTTATATATTCTTAATTATGTTCTCCAGAAAATAGAACGCTAAACTCCACAGGCATTTTCCATGACAGGTGATCATTTTGTACAAAACAAATTGGCTCTCCTGATATTGGAAGCCTCTGAGATTCGGGCAGTGGTTTAAAGTTATAGAGGAATTATGAAGAGAGAGTGGATTTCAGTTTCCTGTATCAATGTGTCAGTAAAAAGCATTAAAAACATAAAAGCAAAGCACCCTTGAGTTACCACTTAACCTTCAACAGAGTGAGCCTGTTCTTTGATAAACAGAGGGAAAACAGTTTTAAAATCCAAGTTCCCCTGGGAAGGGTGATGCATTAGGGCATTTAAGAAGGCAGGCACTTCAGGTGTTCACAGGGTTTGTTTGTTTTGGGGTTTTTTTTCAGTTACAGTTGACATTCAATATTACTTTATAGTAGCTTCAGGTGTACAGAGTAGTGGTTGGACATTTATATAATTGCAGGGTTCTTAATACAGCACTTGAAAGAGGCAGCACACTTATCTCCTGCTGGAAGTGGTCCAAGGTGACCACACACAAACACTCATTGTGCACCCCGGGCTGAACCTCTCAGAATCATTTTAGATTTTCTGTTTCGGTTCTTATGAACACAGAAGCAAGTTGACATCCCTTAACTTGCTTGAGTTGCCCTTACACACAGAAAAAAGGATTCTTTCTGTCAAAATTTTTCTGCACGTTCCAGAAAGGGCTGTACTCTCTCTCCACCTTGTTCTACCACCCACCTGTACACTACCCTTGCCTGACAGGTGGTAGCCTGGTTACGTCCCATGGATACCATTGATTTTCACCCATGATTTCTGAATGGCGGGCTGTGATTTCATCCAAAAGGCTTTTGTGGAGAATCAGTCTTGTGGGTTTTCAGAATGAGATGTTTCCATTCAATCATTTCAAGCTTGGCCAGTTCCGAGCATTATTCTGTCAGGTAAATACGAGCGGAGACATGTGGACTCATTACAGGCAAACGGAAGTTAAAAGGATTTTCTCTTTCAGAGCTGATGCAGCTGGATTTATGGTTGATCCGATAATTGCTTTAATAGTGGGACGTGATTCAGAGCTTTCTCCAAGCATCTTTCTCCTTCTGATAGTTCCATGGGACTCAGGAATTAACTCTCAGTTTGAGTTATAATCACAAGGGCTGACTGAAACGGGGAAAGGGTGTGCTGGAGACTTCTGTGAGCGTGACTTCACAAGCAAGGTGTCGGCATTGCAGTGACAATTAGGACGGCAGGCGCTAATTTTCAGTGACATTGAAGATCAGTTGGAAGGGCCAGTGTTTTAGGGAATTCATTTTTAAGAACAAGGACATCAACTGGATGAAAGAAAGCTACGAGAGCCCATTTGTGTTGTTGGCCATTACTTCTGAGAGCAACTGATGGCTGTGCTTAGTGCAAATCCTTGCAGATCATTTTCAGAGCAGGTGTGAGAAGTCTTGAAGACCTTCAAGCAGCATTGTCAGTGTGTTCCCAGGATTACTCTCCCTGGAGAGTGTTAGGGGTCATTTGTTATGAATGGGCTGAATTTTGTTCCTCCCAAATTCATATATTGTAGTTCTAAGCTCACATACCTCGTTTGGAAGTAGGGATTTTAAAGAGGGGATTAAGGTAACATGAGGTTACTAGGTGGGCCCTGATCCAACAGGACTGTGTCCTTATAAGAAGAGGAGGTGAGGACACAGACACACACAGAGGGACGACCATGTGAAGACATAGGGAACAGACGGCCGTCTACATGACAAGGAGAGACTTCTCAGG